CAATCCTCCTACCTCAGTCTCCCAAACTGCTGAGATTACAGATGTGAGCCATGGCGCCTGGCCCCATGTTGACATCTGTTTGTTTTTTACCTCCTGCCCTGGACAGATTCCACTCTCCACCCTCTTCCCTCCTCCCCAGAGGAAAACCGTCAGCATGGAACCATGAAGGAAGGGATTGGGGAGGCTCAAGATTCAGCCTACTAAATCTCTGTTTTTATGTTTTGTATTCCAGGCCCTATGCCTGGTCCTAAGGCCAAATACCCTGTGTTTCACTCTCTCTAGAGTGGAATCACGTCTTTTGTAGGTGAAGGGTAGGGTGGCCCCCTTGCCGAGTGCATAACAGGCGGCCATGCAGGTCTCCTGCTGCTTTTCAGCTTTCATCAGTCTTCCTTATCCTACTCTCCCCTTACTCCTAGTTCCCTAAGGCCAGGGTGCCATCAATCCCAGCTCTTAAATGACTCTTTCATGTAGATCTGTTTTTTTTTTTTTTTGAGACGGAGTTTCGCTCTTGTCGCCCAGGCTGTAGTGCAATGGTGCGATCTCAGCTCACTGCAACCTCCGCCTCCTGGGTTCAAGCGATTCTCCTGCCTCAGCCTCCCAAGTAGCTGGGATTACAGGCGCCTGCCACCACACCCAGCTAATTCTTGTATTTTTAGTAGAGATGGGGTTTCACCATGTTGACCACGCTGGTCTCAAACTCCTGACTTCAGGTGATCCACCCTCCTTGGCCTCCCAAAGTGCTGGGATAACAGGCACGAGCCACTGGGCCCAGCCTAGGTCTAGTGTTGACCTGCTCTTCCCACTGCCAGTACACTACAGGTGGCTAAGTCAGTTACAACCATTCTGTCCACACATTCCTTCTTTCTTAATCCCTCTGTTCTAGGTTTCTGCCTTTTATTCCAGAAGTCCCCTTTCTGGAGGTCTACTGGGATGTTGGGTAGAAGTAAAATGAGACACCTACAATCCAATCTGTAATCTTAACCTGGAAATGAATACTATATGTTAATTACCCATTGTGTGTCTGCCCCACTAGAATGTAGGCTTTAGAATGCAGAATAGCAGGGATCTTTTTCGTTCTTTTCACATTCTAACATCTAAGCAGCCAGGGGAGTGGAATGAATGAATGGCCTTGAATGGAGGACCTAGGCAGGGTGTACAATTGCATCCATAATAGGCGCTCAAAAAATAAATATATAAAACATTTAGAAACACATATGGTTGCCGCAGGTGATGGCTCACGCTTGTAATCCCAACACTTTGGGAGGCCCGAGGTTGGCAGATCACTTGAGGTCAGGGGTTCGAGACCAGCCTGGCCAACATGGTGAAACCCCATCTCTACTAAAAACACAAAAGTTACCTGGGTGTGGTGGTGCACACCTGTAATCCCAGCTACTTGGGAGTTGTAGTGAGCTGAGATCGTGCCACTCTACTCCAGCTTGGGCGACATAGTGAGCCTCCATCTCAAAAACATAAAATAAAATAAGAAGAAAAGAAATACACATGGTCTAATAGAGTATCATTTGCATTTATTATTATTATTTTTTTGAGATGGAGTTTTGCTCTTGTCGCCCAGGCTGGATGACACCATCTTGGCTCACTGCAACCTCCACCTCCCCGGTTCTAGCAATTCTCCTGCCCCAGCCTCCTGAGTAGCTGAGATTACAGGCGCCCACCATCACGCCCAGCTAAATTTTGTATTTTTAGTAGAGACGGAGTTTCACTATGTTGACCAGGCTGGTCTTGAACTCCTGACCCCAGGTGATCCACCCGCCTCGGCCTCTCAAAGTGCTGGGATTACAGGTGTGAGCCACTGCGCCGGCCACATTTATTAATTTTAATTTAAGCTGCACATAATGGCTCACGCCTATAATCTCAGCAGTTTGGGAGGCTGAGGCTGGCACATCACTTGAGTCCAGGAGTTGAAGACCAGCCTGGGCAACATAGCAAAAAATATACAAAATTACATACAAAAATTATCCTTGTGTGGTGAGGTGCACCTGTGGTCCCAGCTACTCGGGAGGATCACTGAGCCCAGGAGACAGAGGCTGTAGTGAGCTGTGATTATACCACTACTCTCCAACCTGGGTGTCGAAGGCAGACCCTGTCTCAAAAAAACCCACAATTTTTAAAAAATTAACTTTTTGGATCATTTGTTGCTATGGGGAATATTCCAAGCAGATACTGAAGCCTAAAGTTGGACAACTGTTCTCACTCAGTTTTAAATTAACTGGTTTTCTTTTTTTTTTTTTTTTGAGACGGAGTCTTGCTCTGTCACCCAGGCTGGAGTGCAGTGGCCGGATCTCAGCTCACTGCAAGCTCCGCCTCCCGGGTTTACGCCGTTCTCCTGCCTCAGCCTCCCGAGTAGCTGGGACTACAGGCGCCCGCCACCTCGCCCGGCTAGTTTTTTTGTATTTTTTAGTAGAGACGGGGTTTCACCGTGTTAGCCGGGATCGTCTCTCGATCTCCTGGCCTCGTGATCCGCCCGTCTCGGCCTCCCAAAGTGCTGGGATTACAGGCTTGAGCCACCGCTCCCGGCCAATTAACTGGTTTTCATATGTGGGTTGTACATTAATTTAATTAATTTTTTTGAGACAAGGTCTCCCTGTCACCCAGGCTGGAATGCAGTAGCTCGATCATAACTCACTGCAGCCTCAACCTTCTGGGCTCAGGAGATCCTCCTGCTTTGGCCTCCCAAGTAGCTGGGACAACAGGGGCATGCTACCACACCTGGCTAATTTTTTTTAGAGATGGGGGTCTTGCTATGTTGCCCAACCTGGTCTTGAATTCCCGGCTTCAAGCAATCCTCCCACCTCAGCCTTCCAAGGTGCTGTGATTACAGGAATGAACCACTGCATCTGGCATATTTATTTTATTTTTGGAGATGGAGTCTTGCTCTGTTGCCCAGGCTGGAGTGTGGAGTGCAGTGGCACGAAAAAAAAAAAAAAAAGAGTTCCAACAGCAGACTGGGCAGCATGGGGAAACTCCACTTCTACCAAAAATAGAAAAATCAGCCAGGTGTGGTGGCACCTGCCTGTAGTCCCAGCAACTTGGGAGGCCGAGGTGGGAGCTTGCTAGAGCCCAGGAGTTTGGGACAAGACTGGGCGACATAGTGAGATCCTGCCTCTATTTTATAAAATCAAACAAAAAAAAGTTACACCGACTATATATGACTTCTTAATTTTGCTTACAAAACGTTCATTATGCATATCAAAAGATAACTAAGAGGAAATATACCAAAATATTTGCACTTTCACCATCTAATGGCCATTATCTCCAGAACTTGGTACAAAGTACGAGGCATAGCACTAAATAAATTAAAAACAAGTAACAGAAAATGCATATGCGACCCAGGAGAACATGGAACACTTTTTTTGTTTTTTTGTTTTTTTTGAGAAGAAGTCTTGCTGGTCGCCCAGGCTGGAGTGCAGTGGTGAGATTTCGGCTCAATGCCACCTCCACCTCCCGGGTTCAAGCGATTCTCATGCCTCACCCTCCCGAGTAGCTGGGATTACAGGCATCCGCTGCCATGCACGGCTAATTTTTTTGTGTTTTTAGTAGAAACGGGGATTCACCACATTGGCCAGGCTGATCTCGAACTCCTGACCTCACGTGGATCCGCCCAGCTTTGCCTCAAAAAGTGCTGGGATTACAGGTGTAAGCCACCACGCCCGGCCGGCAACACATTTTTTTGACTGAATGGACATGGTTATTGCTGAATAAGGGTATGGTGTATGATTTTATTCTTCCTTATAGTTTTAGATTCTGAATTTCCTAAAAGGACCTAATGTCATTGCACATAGTTATTACATGAAGATAACGAAACGGGGGATGGAAATCAGTGCCCTCCGATGGCCCCGAGCCGGAGTTAGTGACAGGGAGCGTGGCTCCTGCAACCACAGTCCCTCTTTTTTTTTTTTTTTTTTTTTTTTAAGACGGACTCTCACTCTGTTTCCCAGGCTGGAGTGCAGTGGTGCGATCTCGGCTTACTGCAACCTCTGCCTTCTGGGTTCAAGCGATTCTCCTGTTTCAGCCTCCCAAGTAGTTGGGATTAAAGGTGCCTGCCACCACATCCGGTTAATTTTTGTATTTTTTATTTATTTATTTTTTGAGACGGAGTCTCGGTCGGTATCCCAGGCTGGAGTGTAGTGGCGCCATATCAGCTTGCTGCAACCTCCACCTCCTGGGTCCCGGTTCAAGCAATTCTCCTGCCTCAGCCTCCCGAGAAGCTGGGATTACAGGCACCCGCCACCATGCCCAGCTACTTTTTTTTTTTTATTTTTAGTAGAGATGGGGTTTCACCATGTTGGCCAGGCTGGTCTTGAACTCCTGACCTCGTGATCCACCTGTTTCAGTTTCCCAAAGTGCTGGGATTACAGGCGTGAGCCACCATTTTGTATTTTTTTTAGTAGAGATGGGGTTTCACCACGTTGATGAGACTGGTCTCGAACTCCTGAACTTGTAATCCACCCGCCTCGGCCTCCCAACCAAAGTGCTGAGATTACAGGCGAGAGGTGAGCCACGGCGCCCAGCCACCACAGGTTCCTTTTTTTTGAGACGGAGTCTGGCTCTGACTCCAGGCTAGAGTGTAGTGGCGCCCTCTCAGCTCACTGCAACCACCGCCTCCCAGGTTCAAGCAATTCTCCTGCCTCAGCTTCCTGAGTAGCTGGGACTACAGGTGCGCGCCTCCACGCCCGGCTAATTTTTGTATTTTTAGTACAGACGGGGTTTCACCATGTTGGCCAGGATGGTCTCAATCTCTTGACCTTGTGATCCTCCCTCCTCGGCCTCCCAAAGTGCTGGGATTACAGGCGTGAGCCACCGCGCCCGACTGACAGGTTCCTCTTAAAGCCTAAACCGTGAACCCCAGGGAAAGGACCTGCAGGTCCGGCCACGCCCAGGCCTCCTTAGCGCGCCAAGATGGCGGCCGCCGCTCCCCGCGGTCGGAGCCGAGCGGTCCCGAGCGCTTCCGAGCATTCCCGAAGTCCAGAGAAACTCCGGGAGCGGCGCGGGCGGGAGCGGCCCCGCCCGGAACCTGGGAGCGGCGACGCCGGCGCGGGGGAGGGGAGGCCGGATGTGAGTGGAGCGGCCATTTCCTGTTTCTCTGCAGTTTTCCTGAGCTTTGGGTGGTGGCCGCTGCCGGGCTTGAGCTTCCAGTCCGCGGAGGGCGAGGCGGCGTGGACAGCGGCCCCGGCACCCAGCGCCCCGCCGCCCTCAAGCCGCGCGCTCGTCCGCCGCGCCCCGAGCCCGCCGCTTCCTATCTCAGCGCCCTGCCGCCGCCGCCGCGGCCCAGCGAGCGGCCCAGATGCAGGCCATCAAGTGTGTGGTGGTGGGAGACGGGTGAGTGCGCGGCCGGGGCCGGACTGGGGACGGCGGGGTCGGGCGCGGGCGGGGGTCTGGCCCGGACTGAGACCCAGGCAGGCAGGCCGCCCGCTGCGGGCTCGCGTAGGCTGTGGGCCTGGGCCTGTATCGCGGGGCGGGGGCCGCGGGCTGGCGCCCCCACTGGACCCTGACTTCCCGGGCGGCGCGTGCCAGGTTCCGGCTCTGGATGGAGGAGGGCCTTGCCGCTCGCCGGCCGGAGGGAAAAGTGAACTCCACCCTCCGGCTTTCTTCCCGGACGCCGCCCGCCGCCCTCCTCGGGAGCGCTCGTAGAGGAAGCGCTCTTGGAGATTTTGACCATTTTTCCAAAAAGGGACTCTTTCTTGTTTTTTGCATGAACCTCTCAATTCGCCTTGAGAGCTGTGTTGGGAACGCGGCGGTCAAGTCGATATTTGATGCATGCTTGATTGTGCGGGCCTCTTTGGTGCCCCCAAACTTTTCTTTAGAAAAATATATTTTTTTTCATAGACCGGTTCTCGCTGTGTTGCACAGGCCGGTCTCGAACTCCTGGGTTCAGGCGATCCTCCCATCCCAGCCTCCCAGAAATGCTGGGATTACAGGCGTGTGCCACCACGCCTGGCTAATCTTTAAAACTTTTTGTAGAAATGGGGGTTGGGGGTCTCGCTGTGTTGTCCAGGCTGGTCTCGAATTGCTGCGCTCAAGTGATCCTCCTGCCTCTCAGCCTCCAAAAGTGCTGGGGTGACACCGCGCCCGGCTTCTAAACTTATTTTCGAGCAGGATTTTTCAACTTAAACTTCTGCCACTGTTAGGATTCTTAAAATTGTTGTTTTCGCCTATTCCGTGGAGAAAGTTTTTAAGATGCTGGCTGGGAGGAGCCGGCTGTAAGGGGCACTGTTTTTTCTTTTCTTTCTTTCTTTCTTTTTTTTTTTTTTTTTTAACGTGGTGTGGTCATTGATAAACTGTTCTTTGCTTAACGCGTTAGGTATGGGATGTAGCAGAACTGGCCCCCTGTGACTCCAGGCATTGCTTTTCATGACTGTCTGTGGTGGTTACAGGCCCTGGAGGAAGACAAGACTTGTCTTATGCAGTTTTTTCTCCCATAGAAACAAGAATCTCAGTGTAACCCAAGCAAAATCGCGCGTCTCAGCGTTGCTTGTATAGGTTAGTGTTAGCAAGGAAGAATTACTACCAGTTTAATAAAACTCAGTGCAACTGGTACATGTTCCAGTAAAGTCCAAGGCAAGCTCTGGCATCACGGTTAACTGGTTGATATTCTTCAAACTTGTCATTAGGACAGATTTTGGTTCTTGCAATTCAGATGCAAGAAGGATAATTAGACAACTGATTTTTGTAAGATGCCCATCTGTCATATTTGTCTTGGAAATGTGAAATAATATTATTAATGCCTCATAATTCTGTTTATATAATAACTAAAAATTCTAACTTTCACTTATTTAAGAGTATGTAGGCTATCCAAGGGTTTTTTTTTTTTTTTTTTTGTGAGACGGAATCTCATTCTATTGCCCAGGCTGGAGTGCAGTGGCACAATTGCGGCTCACTGCAACCTCCGCCTCCCAGGTTCAAGCGATCCTCCTGCCTCAGCCTCCCTAGTAGTTGGGATTATAGGCATGCGCCACCGTGCCAGGCTAATTTTTGTATTTTTTAGTAGAAACGGGGTTTCACCATGTTGGCCAGGCTGGTCTCGAACTCCTGACCTCAGGTGATCCACCCGCCTGGGTCTCCCAGAGTGTTGGGATTACAGGTGTGAGCCACCGCGCCCAGCCCAATTTTTTTTTTTCTTTCTTTCTTTTTTTTTTTTCTTTTGAGACAGGGTCTCACTCTGTTGCCCAGCCTGGAGTGCAGTGGCGCTCTCTCTGTTCCTGCAACCTCTGCCTCCCGGGTTCAAGCAATTCTCATGCCTCAGCCTCCCAAGTACCTGGGATTACAGGCACACATCACCACACCCAGCTAATTTTATTTATTTATTTTTTATTTTTTTGGTAGAGATAGAGTTTCGCCATGTTGGCCAGGATGGTCTCAAACTCCTGACCTCAAGTGATCCCCCCGCCTCGGCCTGTTTTTTTTTTTTATAAGTCATATTGCTGATAATTATTTGAAAAATGCTGAAACTAAAACATAAGCATAGCAGATACGTTTATTTAATACTAACCGATTAAGGACCTCTGCTGTTTGAATTGGCTGTTTTATCTAGTCAGATAACTTGTCGAATGCCTATCCTGGAATCTGGACCCTCCCTTCAAATACCCACTCCACCGCTTACATGGGGTAACCCTAAGCACATCCCCCACCTCCCAGGAGAGGTGGTTCAGCGGGAGGTCAACAAGAGTAAACAAGATGTTGGTTATTAACTACTTTGCAGGTGCCCCTTGCTGAGTGCTTAGTAAGTGCCTGGTACTGTTACTGCGGTTTCTACGACAGAGGCTCTGTGAGGGAGTATTAGGTTTAAAAACCTGTGGCCTTGAGTTTTCAGTCTGTTTTTTTTTTTTAATTAGTTATGAGCATTTGATCAAGCACAGTTTTGTTTTGTTTTTTTTGAGACAGAGTCTCGCTCTGTCACCAGTTCTGGAGTGCAGTGGCGCAATCTTGGCTCACTGCAAGCTCCGCCTCCCGGGTTCACGCTGTTCTCCTGCCTCAGCCTCCCGAGTAGCTGGGACTACAGGCGCTCGCCACCACGCCCGGCTAATTTTTTTGTATTTTTAGTAGAGACGGGGTGTCACCGTGTTAACCAGGATGGTCTTGATCTCCTGACCTCGTGATCTGCCCGCCTCGGCCTCCAAAGTGCTGGGATTACAGGCTTGAGCCACCGTGCCTGGCCAAAGATGTATCTCTAATAGTTTCTGTTTTTGCTTTTTTTTTTTTTTTTTTTTGAGACAGGGTCTCACTGTTGCCCAGGCTGGAGTGCAATGGCAGAATCTCAGTTCACCACAACCTCCACCTCCTGGGTTTCAAGCGACCCTCCCACCTCAGCCTCCCGAGTAGTTGGGACTACAGGCACATGTGTCTACACCTAGCTAATTACAGGCGTGGTGGGACACGCCTGTAATCCCAGCTACTCAGGAGGTTGAGGCAGGAGAATCGCTTGAATCTGGGAGGTCGAGGTTGCAGTGAGCCAAGATTGTACCACTGCACTCCAGCCTGTGTGACAGAGGGAGGATCACAAGGTCAGGAGATCGAGACCACAGTGAAACCCCGTCTCTACTAAAAATACAAAAAATTAGCCGGGCGCGGTGGCGGGCGCCTGTAGTCCTAGCTACTCAGGAGGCTGAGGCAGGAGAATGGCGTGAACCCAGGAGGCGGAGCTTGCAGTGAGCCGAGATCGCGCCACTGTACTCCAGCCTGGGCAACAGTGTGAGACTCCGTCTCAAAAAAATAAAAAATAAAAAAATAAAGGGGATACACCATCGTCAATTCCTGCTTTGACCCTTTGCCTGGACCATGGCAGTGTCCTTTCAGGCTGTACCTCCATCCTGCCCTCCTGTGCCTCTGCTTACACTGGGCTCCAAAGGAAACTACTGCTCCTTGTCTCATCCCTAGGGGTGTTTCTGTCTTCTCATTGCTAGTCTTTGGATGCCTTGCCATCTTGTTTGCTCCTTAACTCTGCCTACAGCTTTGTGAATAATTCCTTCATGAAAATCTCTATTCGAATCTTCTGGGATGAATTTTTTTCTTCTGGGACCCTGACTGATAGAGACTGGTAATACACCCATATGAAAATATGTTAGCCGGGCGCGGTGGCTCACGCCTGTAATCCCAGCACTTGGGGAGGCCAAGGCAGGAGGATCACCTGAGGTCAGGAGTTTGAGACCAGCCTGGCCAACATGGTGAAACCCTGTTTCTACTGAAAGTACAAAAATTAGCTGGGCATGGTGGCGGGTGCCTGTAGTGCCAGCTACTCTGGGGGCTGAGGCAGGAGAGTGGCGTGAACCTGGGAGGCGGAGCTTGCGGTGAGCCGAGATCGCACCACTGCACTCCAGCCTGGGTGACAGGGCAAGACTCCTTCTCAAACAAAAAGAAAAAAATTCTAGATTTCCTGAATAGCAATTTAATTGAGATTGGCCATGAAATATGACATAGGGTTAATACTTTTTTTTTTTTTTTTTTTTGAGACGGAGTCTGGCTCTGTCGCCCCGGCTGGAGTGCAGTGGCCGGATCTCAGCTCACTGCAAGCTCCGCCTCCCGGGTTCATGCCATTCTCCTGCCTCAGCCTCCCGAGTAGCTGGGACTACAGGCGTCCGCCACCTCGCCCGGCTAGTTTTTTTTGTATTTTTTAGTAGAGACGGGGTTTCACCGTGTTAGCCAGGATGGTCTGGATCTCCTGACCTCGTGATCCGCCCGTCTCGGCCTCCCAAAGTGCTGGGATTACAGGCTTGAGCCACCGCGCCCGGCCAATACCTTTTTATTCTAAGATAGTTGTTTCTGAGCATGGGCTCTATGATACTGTTTTTCCTCCACCTTACTGCTGCCCCACCCTGTAACTTTCACTTAGTGGACCTTTGCCCCAAGATTTCTCTCAACTTTTCTTAGGTAAGACAGTATCACCTGGGCACGATGGCTCACGCCTGTAATCCCAGTACTTTGGGAGGCCAAGGCGGGCAGATTGCCTGAAGTCAGGAATTCGAGACCAGTCTGGCCAACATGGTGAAACCCTGTCTCTACTAAAAATACAAAAAAATTAGCCAGAGATGGTGGTGGGTGCCTGTAATCCCAGCTACTCAGGAGGTTGAGGCAGGGGAATTGTTTGAACCAAGGGAGGTGGAAGTTGCAGTGAGCCGAGATCACGCCACTGCACTCCAGCCTGGGTAACAGAGCGAGACTCGTCTCAAAAAAAAGACAGCATTTTACATTCAGGTATTTATAAACAACAGTTTTATTTTTTATTTGTTTATATTTTATCTTGGCTCACTGCAGCCTCTGCCTCCTGGGTTCAAGTGGTTCTACTGCCTCAGACTCCCGAGTAGCTGGGATTACAGGCGTGCTCC